GTTTGATTGTGGGGAGGGGATGTTAAATGTGGAAGGAGTATTGTTTATGCATGCCTTTTCTCATAAGATCTATTTAATGGCTTTGAACATTTTTTTCTAATTTTGTGTGATATCTGGTAGTGCAAGTATAATTGTTTTTCCTATAGATTTTGAACATAATTTATTGTTCAAATTTATTTCCAGTATTATGAAACATATTAAATTCAATAGATTATGAGTGCTTCTGTGCTAAGTAAGTTGTATATACATTATATGCATCCCCTGTTAGTGGTATTAAGCAAAATGCCATCAAATTACTTCGTTCAGGGTATTCAACTTCAGATTGTTTATTTTCAGAGACTAGTTTCTTCTTAATCAGAATTCAGTGAAGTGAATGACAAAGAGCATAGCAGTTGAGAGAGCTGCTTTTGGGGTTTTTCAGCTTTAATTGCAAAGCACCATTTAATGACTATTCTTTGTTTTTTTAATTAAGGAAGTCAGATCTCCARTAATATAAAAAATTGCCATATTCTGTTCTCACACACACCTGCAAGAGGTCCTGTTATTGAGACTGGAAAGCTGTACTTAAATCTCCAAAGAATTGCTTCATCCCAAAGACTTCAGTCTTATTATCTGGTCGGCCATTTTCAGGTGTAAATTCAACTACAGACCTCATTCATCAAAATAATCTGTAGCAAAATAATACCTATTTTCTATACTTACTTTAAATACATTTGTATTTAAATGGTACCATTGTTGAATCACAGTGCTAACTCGGTGGTTGTGGTTGTGTCCATTTCCATCATCCACATGATTAGCACAGTGTGAACCACATCCTGCAGTTTTACCTGCATGAAAACTGCAGGATCAGGCCATYGGTGCGTGTGCAGGATGTAAATCTGCTACTACTTTTGTAACCCTTTGCTGCTTTGCCTCCACTGCACTTGCTGTGCTGCTTAGATCTTACTAACATTGCCCTGAAGAGAAGGGGGATGTTAAGATTAGCCCGATGAGCTGGGCAGCAAAAGCACAGTGGTGATAGCTGGCCCCACCAGGGACACGCAGAAGCAATCAAGTGGGCTTAAGCCCCTTGATTCCATCAGAATATTTGCCATACTTTGTTCTTTTTGTAATGAATGGAAATCATGATTGCCATGAACATTTYAGGAAAGCAGGTTAGAGAAGCCTTTTAGCAATACAGTTGCAGGTCCATAAGTTTCTTTGGCTGTTTTTTTACCCTTTTTTAAACATCATTTGTTAGAAAAAGTATATGCTTTCAACTTATTTTTCCATTACTGACATATCAAATTTGCATTTTGTTAAGCAATACGAGGATTCTCTCCGCAACATAAAATCTGCAGTTTTGAAGAAGCAAAAGGTTTGGATAGGATCAATGAGAGAATGCCACCAAGAAAAGATGCTCTTCAGCAAGATGGTATTAATACTATAAACACAACAAATGCCAATGGAAACAATGGAACTGGCAACAACAATGCACAGTGACCACATCAGCTTCTGGTTTACTCAYTCATGTCCTGCCTGAGAATTCCTAGATTACTGCTTTTTGATGTGACAACAAATGAAATGGGGGGATCACTTGAAGTGACTACTTAATATGAGGTGGAATACCATCTGACTTGATCCCACTGAAGACACACCCGTCATGCTTTTGAGACAACAGCCCCTCTCTTACACAGTGACCCAACCTCCTGGGAGCSTGTGCCTCACCCTTTTACACAAACATCCATCACTGGCTGCTGGAACTTCAGAAGAGATCTGGGGGAAGAATYGGGCTGTTCTCAGTAAAGCACACCTAGACTAGCATCTTATGCTTATYGTTGTCAACACTTTTAAGTTTACAAATGGGATTTTTCTTTCAGTAGAGGTAGTTTGTTTGTTTGGTTTTTTAAATCAGACTTTCAAATACAACCCTAAGAGCTAACTATTTATTAATGGACATCRGTTTCATGATAATGTCTTTAAAATGATATGTTAGAATGGTCTTAAAATATCTGAGGCTGCAAAAACTGTATTTTAAATAACAGAAAAAATGCCAAAAAAAACTCAGTTGGTCATTCTGTAAAATGCTGACCTCAGGTTTACTCCTTAGATGTTGCTAATTCTATATTGTATTCACTGTATTTTTTAGTTACAGCTTATCAGAAGATTTCTATGTAGGAATGTTTATTACTTGAACACAGATTTAAAAAAAATATTTAATTTAGAAACTTTTTTGCCCAGCTTTTTCAAGACTTTTCCCCACCTTGAATTAAAAAAAAATTATATATACTAATTTTAAAAGTAAGAAAAATATGGAAGTGTTAATTTTAAGGTACTTTTAATTGAACTTTGTACATGGTTTAAGTAAATTTTGATTCATATCAAGTCTGTAAAGCTTGGCATTGTATTTTGTGTATGCATGTTTTCATTTTGCAAATATTTAATATATAGACCTATGATGTACATCTATAGGTTACCTAGATGTTATAGGTACTTTTAGTTTCTTGTGAGTATTACGGTTGCATAAATAGCTAATAATCACTGAGCTGAATAGCTGCAAGCTTTCTATTATTTTGAAATCTGTAAAGGAAACTGAACCTGTATCGGACATACTTTTGTTTAAGCAAAGCAGCGCGTAAGCAATTGCTCTGTTCAACTGCTAAGGCATTAGTGAAAGTGTAAACTTGAGACTGCATGTATTTTGGTATCTACAGGACTGCTTGGTTAAAATAAAAATTGAAGCCCTGTGCTAATTTGTTCACAAATAATGGACTGTACTGATTGCCAGTGTACTTTGTTATATATTTTGACATTTGCTACATGTCCTCTCATCCCCTGGAACACAACTTGAAACTTATGTCACTAGAGTTCATCTCCCTTTTTTTTTCTTTGTTTGCCATAAAGTACAATCTGTACATACCCCTAAGTTGGAAATTTTATGCATGTTCTGAACTATTCAAGTATTTTATAAACAGTAGCACACAATAAATTTTGTGCATGGGCTGCGGCTCCTATCACTGTGTATTGGTTTTATTTGGCATACTTAGGTCTAATTTGACCTTGAAAATTGTTTAGAAAAAGTCTTCAATATTTAAGCTATTAAAAAAATAGCATAAAAGGTCAGATTTAGCTTGCAGAGAACTAGTTGAATGTAAACACTATTTAATTTAAATTTTATTCCTGCTGCTTTTTTTTTTTGCTTTTGAGTTCTTTCTCAGAGATATTTTGTGTCTGGTAAACCAGATATCCACTTTTTGTTTGTACAAGCTTGTCAGAACAGGGTTAGTGGACTCTAGAAACACTCTTAAGCATAGCTGTATTTCATATGTTGGTTCAAACTAAACATTTGACTACTGAATTGTGTTGGGACAGCTCTTTGGGCAAAGGGGGAGAATTGTTTGTTTTGACAGTCAGTACAGACACATGAGATAGTCTTTTGGCATATTCTTTTTAAACTAAGGACAAGTTGCTGAACAGGACAAGAATTAAGATAAGTGACACACCGTTGGTAAGCGAGTTTTAATATTTGATTTTACTTTATTGCAGATGCATTCTAATTGGAAATTCTTCTCAGAGTTTGAGTGCAGAAGATCAAGTTAAAAATGGTAAGTTTTTTGGCTTTTGTATTAAGCACTCCCATAGCTTTGAACTGTACAGTCTGCATATGGTGTTGTAATAGAGCAGAACAAAAACCTCTTACAAAGTACGACTGAAATTTTATGTGGTGAACATGATGATGGTACCTTTCTCCTTGTGCTAGTGGAAAATGTCTCAACCTCAAGCTGTATTTGTACTGTAAAGACAGTATTTGTCCTGATTTGATACTCAAATCTTGGTTGTGATGAGGATTCTGAGTAGCTAGAATTGTGTATATGAAGAAAATACAGATACAGTCTTGGTGTGGAAAGACCTCATTGCAGTTGGAGAGAACTGGTTCTGACACTTGTATGGCAGTAAGTACCCAGCAGYGATGATACTCACTTCTGTGAGGATTCCCTTGCAGTATCCATTTTACTACTTTAAGGACTCCCATGCAGTATCTGTCTGTAGTACTTCTTATCAGATACAAAGGCAGATCTGCAGTAAAGGAAAATTCACTGGGTAGTTGTTGGCCTGATTTCTCATGCTGTGTTTCTCCTGTCACCCTTTAGGCAAGTAGTCAGATAACAGGGTTGTGTCTGGGGATGTTCCTRTTTATAAAGTAGGCACTCATTTTTTACTACTGTGTTTCTGAAAGGTGGAGTCTGGAGCTGTCTCTAATTCTTATATTGTTTGGGAGAAGAAATTATATCCTTACTCCCAGAAAACTGTAAGTAGTTTGCATTACTCATTTTGCACATGTGTATTGTGCTTTCAGCATTTTAAGGAGGGGAAGAAAAAAAGAAATCATCTGTGTGTCCRTAGTCTGTTCTTGGGTAGGGAGGGGAGAAGGCTTGGAAATAGTTTTGACAGCCAAAGGAGACAGGCAGCAAAAGCTGCAAGAGGCATGACCCASACATCACTGCTTCCCTGAGCTGATGGGTGGGACCCTCATCTGTGCTGTGCTCACCTGGAGGGCACCGGCAGTGAGTGTCCAGAGGTGGGCTGRGGACTGCCCCAAGGAGTGTAACTGTGTTTTGGTGGGACTAAGCACAAGTACAGACTGTGCTGGGTCAGGTTTTGGGGGCTTTTTCTCCACTAGGGCCTTGTGCAGTCAGGAAATGTGCTGCTATTTGCTGAGCCAAATAGGGAAGAGCAGCTGAGTTCGCAACCTRTCTGTATTCAGTTTAATGGCAAACAAATGCTTTCATCTCCCAAAGTTACAGTGTCAAACAACAGCTTTCCTTTCAAAGCTTATTAAATTCAGTTGTGAAATGGAAAAGTTGCTGTAGTCATAGCTCATGAATTGTGAAGACTGGACCCCTTGCAAAAAAAGCAAAGTTGTTGGGATTGATGCTGTTTTTCTCTTGGAAAGAGGGAGGTCTCTTCTGGTGTGAGCCTGAATGTTTTTGGAGGGAAGACTCATAACAGCTTGKTTTTTTTTCTAATGTTTATTCTGAAAGCACTATTACGTAAGTTACATTAAAAAATGAGGCGTTTTCAGAGGCAGGACAGGCAGGATAGACAGTATCTGTTCAGTCTTGCCTATTTTTTGCTACAATTTCATTGTCAATCTTTCAGTTCTTGCTACCCATTTAACAATTCTTTACTAGCATGTAATGAAAATACTTTTGGCATAGAACAGGTGAMTGTTAGCAGAACACAAGACCCTTTTCATCTGTTCATTTTCTTGTGATAGTATGTATGAGCCAGATTTAATAAACATTCTGCTTTGAATGACAGGTGAAGTGATAGGGATTTTTTCAGTCATAGAGAAAGATATATATGCACTAATAGGCTTTAATTATTATTAAGGTGCTTCACTTGTAAGGAAATTAGTTCAAGAAGAAAGACGTGAACAAAAGCTTTTAAGAATCTTGGTTAAGCTTGGAAAGCTATTGCCAGATAGAYACCTATATACACACATGTATCAGTGGACACTTGCACCAAGGATGACCAAAGTAGAGCAGAGTAGAATGTCTTTTAGTCTCCCCAAATCAACCTCCATCTATTTTGTATTTGAAATAATTTTAATCTGACCCAGCTGAACTGTATTTCTCAGTTTAGCATCAGAAAAAGTTTACTAGTCTAAAATCAGATTTAGGTTGCAGACCACTGATATAAGTAAAATACATTAGCTTTTTCTGGTATGATACACTTGATAATCTGTTGTTCCTGTGCCAAAACCGCTATGTACATGCTGTGGAGCATGAAAGATTTGTCATATTGGAACCAGCTCTACCAGTTGTAGCAATTTATGTCTGAGAGATAAAAGAAATAGGTTTTTGCTGTTTGTGTGAGGGTATCCTATTATACAGTTGTTATTTGTTAAAGCATTGCYGAAGGAACACACTGCTTAGTACTGCTCGACTTGAAGCTTCTCTTAAATTTACATCTGGGGACAGATTCACTGCAGCTTTCCAAAAAAAAMCAAACGTGCTGTCAAAAGTTGTTCTCTTTAAATCCTTTTAAAACATTCAGTTATTTATACTGTGTAGGTCACAACTGCTTTGGATTTACAGGTTAGCACTAAATAAAGGCTTTTCACTGCTCAGTCAGTTGCTGTATAACCCACTCCATGAGGAGAGACTTCAAAATCAGATCCAGGATGATTTCTCCTTTCCATTGCTGCCTAAAGCATAATGGTAACTAACCACTAATTTAAGGAATTTAGTAGGGGGTGTACAGTCAGATTCTGCCAAGGCCCCTAACTGTCAGTGTATTGTGACTTAAAGGGAGCACTTGCATGTTTTTCAACATTATGAAGGAAAGACGTTAGGAGGAGAGGGTGTAAAATGCTTTACATTACAGCCTCAGGCTTTTTTTTGTCTTCCACAGTAAGCTCAGCAGTTTAGGCATTTCAGGAAACTTGCTGAATCCTGGAGATTCATTTGGCTGAAACAGTTGACTCCTGCAGAGACTCCTGCAGGAATCCAGTAGAGGGGAAGTGGTTTTGTCTGGGTCAAAAAGTATAAGGCCTAGGGTCTAATAGACAAGATATATCTTTTATTATACAATAAAGAATATTATGTGCTGTAAATTAAGGCATTTTAAGTGCAAAAAGCTTACTGAATCATCAAGAAGGCAACCTTTTTGATTATGCAACCTTTAAAATTATTCTTTTACAGGGATAGTTAGTATCTACTTAAAGCATGTTTTATGTCCTTCAGTTTGTTTCAAAAAAAAAAACCAAACTAAAAAAAACCAGATAATCCTCTTCTATTGCCCAACAATTGCCAACAGCAACCTCCGGTAATCACCGCTTGTATCACTTGCTATCATTGTAGCCAAAGTCTTCTGATACATCTGTGTGAACATCTGTTTAATTTGCACAAGGTCAATCTGTGCAAAGACAAAAGAAGGCAGAAAATTAAGCATAGTGTTTGATTTCAATCCTAGACAGTCACCCCACATCTCCCTTGCAAACTAGAGAATACATGCCAAGGGTGAGATGTGCAATGATTAACCCTRTACAGTGGACAAGCCAGCTGGTCCCTCCAAGGACAGAGGAGCAGYTCCCAAAGCTGAGGCCAGCCATTGTTCCATGCTTTGTTAGGATTGTGCTCTCCTAACTCTGAACAGGTGAACTTGTCACCTGGGGGTGCTCACTTGCTGCGTAGACAGGCAACAACAGTTAAAAAGGRAAACAAGCAGTTATTACTATCTAGCCAGAGTTAATTAAATTACTGCATGAAAGCTGGATTTCTAAATGTGAGCCCCATAAAAGCATCATGCAGTACATGATTTTACAGCTGTGAAAGGAGGACTAAGTGACAAGCTGATTTGGGTAGATGGCTTTCTGCTGCATGTGACTTGTACACAGGAGAGGATTTCTTACCTCACTGCGAGTGACTACAATTCTGATGAGAGTAGAATCATCTGTGCCTGCTCCTTTCATAGAATAATAGAGTCTTTCTGCAAAAAAGGCTGGGCGATTTAAAGCACATTGCACTGCAATAAAGATAGTGTTAGGATTAGTTCCAGTATTTTATCCTACACAGTGATACCTGGCAGGATCAACTCGGGATTTTTGCTGTAGACAGCTAGAGGTTGGTCTCAGTGAAAATCCAGTTACTGTGCATAAGGGGACCTGTTTATAGAGCTAAGCTTATTTTCAAGTTGACCAAATGAGTTATTCTTTCACACAAAAACTTACGGTTATTGGCAGTTAACTCCTCTGGAAGTGCTTTTCAAAGCTCTCTGAAATCTTAATTCTCAAACAGGTAATTAAAAAACAGTTTTTCTCCTTGTATAGCTGATACTGGACACAAGGTATTTTACTCATGTTCCATTGCTAGAATCTCACTAAGGAAAGTGCAGATGTAGAAGGTTCTCACTGTMGTAGTTACAGAATGGTAGTTACAGTAGTTACAGTCACACTCAGACACCAGCCATTATTCTTCTACCTCCCTGATTCTSAGATCTAAATTTTCCACACTAAACTGTCAAAGGGAAGTTTTTGCCTATCCATTATGGCTACAGAATTGCTGTCATTTGGGTAAGCACTGATATGAGTCCTGTCTCCAGATTAACTGCTAAATATTACTGATTTTCACTGTCAGTTARTTGGGCTGAACTGTGTTGAACTGCTTTACTATAACAAGTCAGTAGGAAAAAGTGAATTCAGAATAGGTCTTCTATTTTGCTAAGCTTGTCCTTAGCCATAGCTGAGATTTTTTGGGTAGCTGGTAGTGCGGAAGGGGGTGGGAAGCAAACTGTGCCTTCAGTAGGTTCATGTTGGCTCTGAGGTTATCTGTGGGTGGCACAGTTATCTCTGCTGAGAAGCTGCACACCCAATCACAGCTCTGTGAAACTGGCACCTCCTTTTGCAAAACTGAATTATACAGCTACAAGCACTAACCAGTAACCCTTAGTTCCATGCACTTTCCTGCCTTCCCAGACAAGTGACAAGTAGTTTCTACGTGGCCTTTCTTTATTGAAACTCACTTCTTCATGGTGGATGCTTATTTTCTTCATTCAAATGGAAGATGAATCRTTTGCATAACTGAAGTTACTTCTGTGCTAGCAGAGTCTCTGACTGTGTGATCATCTGCCATATGGCTAGTGCTGAATTGGATTCTTCTTCAGTTACTTTTAGGTTTAATTCCTAAAGAAAAAGGGGGAAGAGGAGAATATATAACTTACCAATTGTCTTCAAACCACGTTCCACGTTTCCAGAAAATTCTCGGTCAATGCTGCTTAATAAATCACGATTAGCAATCTACAAATAAATGAGATTAATAYGTGAATGATGAAATGCAGTTACATCTGGAACCTTAATTTAAAATACATTGACCAAGCTTATTTGAAATCAGTGAAGAAGTCCTACCCTGGAGTATGCCTCCACTGTTGCTTTCAGTTGGGGAAAACTTCTGCTTGCCAGAACCATATTAAAGCAAGATTCGTCAGTCCCAAGTTTTCCTTCACCTGCTTGGTAAAGACGCTGAGCATCTTCTTGAGCTTTTTGATAATCCACAGTTTGATTCTCATCACGATTACCCTTAATGCAAAGACAACAGATTTCAAATGAAATTTCAGTGGTGGCTATACTTTAATTGCTTGCAGTGTACATAGCTCCCCAAGCATGTATCTTCAAAGCTTGAAGCAGAAAGAAAAATAGCAGTTTGAAATACAGTAGATTTTCTTAAAACTTCTTCTTTGGTTTAATATTCCTTACTGGAAACAAATACAAAAGTGGCTCAGAACTGTATCTGTAGGACATGCTTTAAACTGCASATAYACTGACACAGATAAATTCATCCCTAAAAACCATCCCATAGTTCTAATTAAGTACTGTACTTAATTCTCTGTTTTACTTAGTAATGTAAGCTTTCTCTTGATTTGTTTGTTTCTAGGCTTCAACTTGCAAAGACTCTTCCCAAACGAACTAATGAATTATCTTACTGAATATGCACACCTGAAGTATCTCAGGTCTCCCTCCTATTTTATTTAGAAGTTGCTTATTTTAAGTAAGAATGTCTCCAGAAAGCACTTACTACATTTGTGTCATTAGGGCTTATATGACATTTTATGTGCTTTGGTGATTGTTTTGGTTTTTTGCTGCCCAGTGCATGGATGGATACWGCTAAACATRCTGGCTGAGTAGGCTGAATACATGMTCTCAAATACTGTTGTATCTATAGTGGTTAATATACTATTTAAATGATGTGGTTGTCAGTTACTGTAAACTACTGGATTTACCAAAATAAAAATTAGCAGCATGAGCTTCTCCAGGTTTGCTTTCTTGTGGATTTTGACTATCAGCCAAATATAGAGCATAGATGAACTCTCACAAAGGTGGAAGTCAGTAAGATAGAGAAGTTTCATAGAAATTCTAACAGAAATAGGCAAATTTATCAGAGAACTGTGGGAAGCTGCATTAGTTACATATTTCTTCCTAAATACGAGTAACCGCAAGTTACCATCCTTCAACACAAAATAAGCCCTAGTAAATGATATGGGATAAACAAGCTCCAGCGGTCACCCGAGTTCAACAGCAGCACCTCCCTAATTCTGGTGATGCGAAGGGAAGGCAGGCTATGGAGTAACTTGGGAGGTAAGTTTTGTCCTGTGGCATGTCTTATCTTGTTGGTAGGGATTCTTACAGGCAGTGTACATACCACAGAGGTTACCCAATTAGCTTTACCCAGATTACTGTTAACATATGGAAAAAATAAAAAGCGTCTTGCTCTAACAGCAGTGTAGAGGACTGCTTTAGAGAACCACTTGGTTGCATCTGCATTGTATTTCTACATAAGTTCTGGTATTAATCGAGGTTGCTAAATTAGGTCAAACAATCCATCGTGGATTTGTAGATAAGAAGAATCTCCTGAGGAGGGACTGAAGTGTCATATCTTAGGGAATAAATTAATGACCCAGTGATAATTTCTTAAGAACGTGCCTGTTGCTAAGCATACACAGGCTATTTATGGAGCCATGGTGACTACACACATCAGACTGTACACTGTTATCTTAGTAAAAATAAAAAAAAATTAAAGCTCACTTGGCACATAGATATAAGTAATCGTTCAAAGTGTCCTGAAGTGTCTGATCTGATGTCTTGTTCAATGTCCCTTCCAAATTCTGATTGATAGCAGTTCACTATTTCACGAATTTCCTGGTTTGTCCTTGTGCAAAGGATCTCAATCAACACACTCTCCTGAGTGCCTGCTCCCTGTAGGCAGAGAAAACAAAAGCATTACTACAGTACACTACCTATACAGTTTTCTTCAACTGTGAAGTAAGGCAGTCATCTGGTATTTCAAAACTTAATACAGTCTAGTTTGTAAGAATAACATCTTGCAGTGTGAAAGAACCAAATCGACTGTATACTTAAAATGCAATGAAGATCCCTTAAACATGCCATTCTTCACCATTCAGAAAAACACCCCAAAACTATACACAGTGACATTGGCCGAAGCTCGCTGGAAAATGGCTTAGGAAGGAAATTCTTTGGCAGCCTTAATCTGGAAACTTACTGAAGGAAGGTAGAGCATTATCATAATTATTAAAATCAAAAGTACACATGTAAATTCCATTTTGGTTAGTACACGGATGTGTTCCCTATCCAAATGTGGCCRCTTCTTCAACATGGAACTTTTCATAGATGCTCCCCTCCCCCCCGAATAAAAGGTAATTGAGATCTCTGTGTGCAGGGGGATCTTACTGCCATGGCCATCTCAGTTCAAGCAAGGATTAGACAGGAGAGGGGATGTGAGACTTCTGTGTAATCTTACATTATGAATTTTTGAAAATGATCGAGTAGCTATTCCCCATTAAAGACAGGTCTTCATTTGAGCTCCACATTCTCTAGAAGGTGTGCATTCATACATGGGTTGAGTTACTCATTTCCACTACCAGCCACCTGCTAGCTGCTGCAGCTCAAACAAGTAGGGCATTCCAGGAAACTGGATGTACCAGTTTACCTGAGTTAAAAGTTTAAACCAACTAGCTCACCTAATCTCTAAATGCTGTCTTTATTCTTGAATATCCATCATCTGACCATCAGAAATTATTTTTTCATTGTCCTTTGGGGGGGGGGGGGGGGGAGAAAGGGATAATACAAAAATACCTTTCATTAACAAGGTTTTGTTCCTAGTAAGGAGAGGTACGTACCTTTACTTTAAACAATGGTTATGGTTTTAACAGCASCCTGGCCCTTTCTAGGTTCTAGCAAAAATTATGCCCAAGTGATAGAGAACAAGGTTCTGTCCTGCAGTATTTCATCCTATACTGAATGGACATCTGCTCTGAATTGGCTTATCCTGGAGAAGTCATCYGGAACTGAGGGATGCAGCAGAAAAGAATTTTAAGTCCTGCAATCCCAGGACTTGTTTGACACTAGCTTGTTGAAAAATCCTAGGATTTTTCAACAATGCTGGGACCAGGTATTCTTAGGTGAGCATTTTAACATAGTTTTAAACTCTTCACAGAATACTGTACCTTCATTGCATGACGTAAACTCCAGGCATCATAGTAGGTACTAGGCATGAAGAGTGCTAGAATCAGTTCTTCCACGTTACCGCTTAACTCAGACTTCAGATCTTTAATTAAATCCTGTTCAATCATAAACACAAAATRGACTTTGCAGAGTGTTAAGCATATACAGATTATATACCGATGAAAGATCAAACTAGAATTTACTTTTATGACTTATTTCTACTTTTGTGCTGTTTTTCCTGTAAAGCTTTATTTCTTACAAGGAACTTCCCTCTGTCTAAAACTCTGACAGCTCAGCTCTTCCCCATTATCTCCTCACTAAGACGTAGTTAGGTCCTGAAAAATGCCACAACCAAATTTCAATGCCATTACCAAATTTAATTTTAAGTTGCAAAAATGATAGAGGAAAGAAATTAAATTAACCTGGACTTTTGTTTATTATCCAATCCTCAGTCAGTTTCTCAGTTTGTTTCTTGGGCAAAAGAAGATTTTGGTGCTGGTTTATGTGTATAAAGAACTCAGTTGTTTCAGACATTAATACAAGGACAGCTTAAGCTTGTTTATTTTCTATCAAGCTTTAGAGAAGCAGAGAAGCTTCTTGTGTGGTTAAGGATAGGGACAGGCTCCAGATATATGGTATCAGGACAACACTGTCAAATACCAGATGYCTCCCAATACACAAGGAATATAACCAAAAGAAGTGCCTTTTTAAAAATGCCCAGATCACTCCCCAGGACTAAAATGCAACCAGGCAGTCAAAGCAGCAGCCATAATTCAAAGAACTAGTGAACATACCTTGCCATACATAGTCTTGAAAGCTGCCTTGATTTTTTGCCTTTGATCATTGGAGCGGTTAGCAACAACATTTATGATGGCCTGCTCATCAGTTCCTTGAAAATAGAAGGGCAATGTCRTGTTATAATGCAAAACAGTCTCTTGGAGACTGTGCATTTTGTACAGTTGCATCTGGGCATAGTTACATAAAAAGTGGCATCAATTGAAGTCTTAACAAATTTTCTATGTAACTCCACCAGCTAAATAGTCTAAGCCATTTTGAAAGTGTAACTTTTGAAAGCTTGGGGGAGAAGTAYAGTTAAATAAAAACTGAAGAAAACAAAATGGCATTAAGAAGTTAGATCAAAAGGAACTAAAGCATCTATTGCTTACTTACCAAAACCCTTCATAGCTTTACGGAGAATTTCTGCATCCCTTGCAGCATCGAAATTTGGAGCAGCTTGAATTGTACCCTGGGTATACTCAACCACTGCAGCAGGCTGAAAATAAGAGTCACATGTAATTAAACATCCTGCACAATATAAATTCAAATTAAAATCACAACTCTTCAGAGTTCAAACTTCAGAAGGAGTTTTCCGTTAGTTCTCCACTTCTTCCCCTTAACACAGAATCAGGGCAACRTTGCTCTGAGGATAGATGGAAACTCGTAATGCAGAACACAGTGCAAACCACTGGAAATCAGCTGTAAAAACATTAAMACTACAGAAGCCACGTAAGATTAATTATAGAAAATAAACCAGCACATACCRGACCAGGCATTGGGGATGGTACTTGTCCTCCAGGAAATCCTAGTGAAAATAAAGAACAAGGTAAAAGAAGTTAATTGAGTCTTCTCTCACTATGGAAATGCCATCTAATCTGAATATAAAGCCAGAACCAACACTGCATACAGCATCTTTCCTAAGTAACGATACCTACCATGATCAGGACCTGAATTCYTTCCCTTGGGAATAATGGGAAGAAACACAGATGCATTTTGGTACCTACTCTAGCAAGGCAATTCTAAAAATACTAAATTTACTGGTGCTGTGGAGACTGGAAGGATCTCTCCTTAAATTCTGCTATTTTTGACAGAAGTCAAGATAGCCTACATGAATGAAGAATGTGTGTCCATGCTCTCTTTAAAAGCCGCTATATATACTTTAAAATGCCTGTAAACTATAAATATTCAGAACTCATTGCTGCAAAAAGGATTAAAGGAATCCCATTTTGTGAGCAAAAGCTCTGTGAATACAAAAGCTGAAACAATTTTTTTTTGTACTGGAATTTTATATTTATCATACTGAGCCAACAAAGCAATCATAAAACAGAAAGGTTTTGCTACTTTGAATTTCTTTAAAATACAATGGATACATTCCAGGACAAAAATCATCTCTATAGTAAGTGACCTCTCAAAGCATTACAAACACTGCACTGCTTTTAAGCAAATGTGTGCATTCTCCTTTCCTCTTTCTCCAGTATGCCTGAGATCACTGTGAACACACAAATCTGAAAAATGCAATTGAGATTAACAGAACTGCTAGTTACTCATCAAACATGGACTCTGGATTTCACAGCTCTCATCAGATACTTGAGGTGTAAAAGAGGATAGGCACCTAAACCACTACATCATGATTATTAACCAGGGATAGCTATCCCTTTTGGATGTAGCACCTACGGAGCTGGTTCTCATGAGCCCTTCAGTGGCCTGGTCAAGAAAGGCGGCAGGAGGTGCACARCATACAAACCTCAACAGCTACAAGTAATGAAGGTAAGAGTCTAACTTGGTACTACTTATCCTGGGGTCTCTTAGTTTAAGCCTGAATGCTTGAAGTTTCTTACATACGACATACCTGGAATTTGTGCAGGTCCACCTCCAGTATAGCTTTGGGCAGGAGATTGTGGATAGCCACCAAAACCAGGGCCAGTGGGAGACGCAGCAAAGCCAGGGCCTGGAGGAGCCAGGGAAAAAAACCCAGACTTCAGCACGCTTAGTATTTTGTACTTGAGTTCTGGACACACCATGCACCAGGTTATTGAGCAGAGCTATGTGAGAGGCCAATTTCTCCATRTCTGTGCAGTGATCCAGAACCACCAAGGCCCTGCCATCAGCATGCAGGTATTTACTGCTGGATGGCAACCTGGCTGGCTGCCTGCGTGCTGCTGCCTTAACTGATCACTGAACAAAGCTGCTTTTCTTCRCTATTTCTAAGGAGCACAGGGAGTGGTTACATTGGTAATCCCTCCTGACTGGTACTCTAACAAAGGATCTTACCTCCAGGATAAGGAGGCATTCCTCCAGCCTGGGGAGCTCCAGGGAAGCCCCCTGAAGCAGGGTAGCCCCCCAGGGCAGGATATCCTGCTGCCCCTGGAAACCCAGCATTCGGTGGTGCTGCAGGATAGGTTCCTCCTCCTGATGGAGGGAATCCTCCAGGAACGGCAGGATAGGAGTACTGACCAGCTGGTGGATAGACAGACTCTTGTCCTGTCGGCTGAAACACAAAAATGGGATATCTGTGTGCCTGTTAACAGGACATTAGAGTAAAAACTCTCAAGCTGCCAAAATGTCCACAGGCATAATAACAACAAGAATTATATAATTAAATGTAGTGCTTGAAGCAGCAGCAGTGGAATTCCTGAAGCCTGGATGGGGTCCTCCTGAATGGGTTTTCTGAGGCATCTCCTACGTTGACACAGGATCTGAGAGTRCTGCAGGATGCAAGTCACCTCTGGATGGGCTGTGATCCCATCCACCTCCAACGCAGGTCCAGCTTTGGAGTTGGATGAGCTCATACAAGGCCTGATAGTCTAGCTTTCAGTATACATAGGGAATGGCAAATTCACAGGCTCTCTGTGTCCTTGTTCCAATGTTTGATTATTCTCATAGTGAAAAATGTTTTCCCCAAACCAAATTGCAATTGCAGCCTGTATTTGCCAGCTGCCCTTTCACTGTACTGTGTACCTCTGACAAGAGTTGGCTCCAATGTCTCTGCTGCTCCTTCTCACCCAGCAGAAGACTGAACAGATCTGTGCTTAGCCTGTTTTTCAGGTAAGCAGACAGAATTCCCCAGATATGCTCCTCTTTGTCCATGGCTCTGTTGTACTGGGAGGCCACAACCAGACACAGTATTCCTGAGGTGGTCTTGTGAGCAATAAGCACAGAGGAATAACCATTTCCCTTGATCGCCAATGCTCTTGCTAAAGCTTGGTGTGTCATTAGCCTTCCTCCCTGAGGACTCACAAAGCTGAGCCACACTCAATGTGTCAGCAATGGGACACCTGGTCCTTTACTGGAAAGCTGCTCTTTCTATTCCACACAAGGAAGAGGTGTGCTCAGCTCAGCTTTCTCTCTATGAATCATTAAGAGCTCTCCCCTGTTACAAGACTTTAAAGAGCATAGTAGCTTTGAAACTTCTGCCTCTCTTGCACGACCAGTATTTTCAAATGTTACTGCGTAAGAACTTGTTGGGGTTTTTYCCCCCCATTTCCTTGGAATCCAGGTGATAAAGCATGGACATTCAGTGACTAAATCTGGATCACTGAGTCAGACCAAACACCTATTACTGGTTTTAAATAAAAAGAACAAGTCTAACACATATATATTTGTTTTGCTACATGTATGATTTACCAGCCATACCACAAAGGTTTCTATTAGCATTAACATATATTGGAAATAATTACTTGAATGATCTGGATCACTAAGGGAAAGCCCTCTAAGRTAAAAGTCATTATACATGATCTTAGAAATCAGGTATGTAAAATCAGCTTCATAATGAAGCACAATCTATGGACCCATTACTCACTTGCTGGGAATCATCTTTCCTGATTAGCTTTAGAAACAGGGTCACACATTACATAGAGCACACTTTCCTTCTTGACCCCAGAAAACAGAAATAAAGTCCAAAGGAGGAAAGCCTGGCTCAAATGTTCCCCTTGGGTTTGGCTGCCCCAAACTTTCTACTCCCAAATTTCTGTGCCGAGGCTATATAATACTCTTTGCCCCAGAGGCACAGTCTAACATTTCTCTGCCAGATTCAACAAAAAGATTTTATTGGAATTTAGAGTCACAAGTCCAAAATTAGGATACTCAAAGGGTCTGCTCAGATAACTACCAGTACTGCAGAAAAAGAAATATTTCACAAACATTTTTTWAATTGGTTACCATTGGTTACCACACCATATTGGGTATCATCGAGACTAGGAAATCATTGATAACAAGTCTAAAACATCTTTTAAATTAATTAATTGAAGCTTGCTACTTTTTAGATGCTAGCTAAGAAAAAAAAAAGATATTTTCAGATGTAGTTAAAAATAAACTACAGCTAAAATCATGAGGGTTCAGTAGAACCTTGAGGGGAGAAAAGAAATCGTGGMGTTAATAGTCTTGTTTCTAACATGTTTGTCTTCAGTTTGGCTGACTTTAACRTTTCAGAGGAAATAAGGGTAGATTGTAAAGCAAAATCATCAGAGAATTTATTGCATGTATTTATATCTATTTATAGCTCTTCAGTATCTTAATGGCATTCAGGCTGAGTTCTGTGCTTTAGTTCTATACTACATAAAACACAGATAAAATTCCCATAATTGCAGTATGATCAGTGCCATGAAAGTGCCATGAGTGCCATGATCAGTTCCATAAAAGCACAGAGGTGAATGTAGCTTTGAAAAATATTGCAGGCATATCAAAAGGACCGCAGTATCAGCCATACCTGATACATTTCAGCCTTCCATTAAGTTTCTTATAAATTTTTAGTCCATTCAGTTGTGAGCTGAAGGTGGAACAGTCCTGTGGATAGGACAGGGGGTCCAAGTCAAGATTCAGTGTCCTCTRTCCTCAGAAAAATATTTACTTGGTGTCATATGAAAGCTGGGCTACTTGGGCAGTGTTTCAAGCTCTTCCTGACAGCTGTGACCACTGAAGCTTGCTCAGCATCTCTGTAAATCCTGGGTTACAGCTACGTGAGTATTTGGTACAGACTGGTACAGATCTCTAACCCCACTTTATATAAAGTGCCTCATATTTAGAGAAGAAACTTTAAAAAATATAAAAATTGCTGAGACAGCTATATTTGAAAAAAATGAACTCCCAAGAAAAAGATAAAACAAGATCAAAGACCTTTCTGAAACAACAGGCATTTAAAAACTAAGCTTCCTTCTTGGAATTTTCAGAGATATAAAGATGGAAACAAAGACCATAATCACTGCAGAACATGGTACATTAATTAACAGCTACCATTTACAGATACACAGAGCAGAGTAACAAGGTGTATTCACAGAATATAAATGCATTAGGMATGCAACACATTCAGGAGCCATACTTACAGGRTAACCTGGGAAAGCAGGGTAACCATCAGAAGGGGGATAACCTGGGTATGACATTCTGGGGAAGAAAAGGAAAAGTATATTTTCACTGTGAAGCAGCACATATGAGTTTAGTAGGTATTTGCTAATTATCTGTTAAATGACATGAATAATATGTTTAGGAGGTTTAGAATTGCTTGCGAGTACTGAACAGCTATTAACCCTAACTTTTTTCCTCTCATACATCTGACCATAGCAATCAGAAATCGAAGAGGAGCATCTTCAACCTCATAATTAACTATCACTCTCATTTAGGGTCAGACACACATTTAGGCWTGGTAAGAGGCACAAAGCTCTAGAAAGCTCTGAAATACAGAATACACTTCGAGGTRTCAGCAGGAGGGATCTAACTGTTTGCCAGGATGGAAACAGTGTAGGCGTCAGTCCTCCACTGCACCAAGCACCCTGCTCACAGGGGTAGTTCCTGGCAGAAGAGCAGTACCCTGTGTATTCCGTGTAAAACGGTAAYTTTTATAGGAACAGATGTAATCCCTCAGCATTACTTCATTTGTGGAACAAATCTGTGTTTCCTGACACTAACTTTATTTTAGTCTTATTTTTAACAGAGGGACTTGGGGAGCAGGGGTAGAGATCACCTCACCCCGCATGTTGACAGCCAGATGGGCAAGGAGATTCGAGACCATTAGCCAGCTTATGAAACATTAAATGGCAGAGGAAAAAATGGGCTTTAAATTTGGCACAAACATCCTCGAGTTGCAGCATCTCCGACAYAACTACTTTTATAACCAAAACAACAACAGATTTTCCCGTCAGACTGTAGCTTTCCCCCGCTGTCTCCGGGCGCACGGGGCGGGTCAAGCTGGGGGCCGGGTGTGAGTCAGCGGCCAGCGGTGAAGCATCAGCGGGCGCGCCGCGCTCGGTGCATTGGGTGGCAGCTCGGCCACTAAACACAGAGAAGTGTCCCTGCTGYTCCGCTGCAGCCCCGCCGGGAGCCGAGGAGGCACCGCCCGAGCCGAGCCGAGCCGGGCCCGCCCCGCATTCCCCGCGAGCACCGCACCCGCCCCCGCCTTTAAGGGCCCCGCCCGCCGCCGCCCGCTCTSCTCGGGACAGTCACGCATCGCCCCGGGCTCCTCCCGCTCCCTCAGCCGCCAGCCCCGGGCCGGCCCGGCGAATCCTCCGGTGAGGTGGAGCTGCGGGAGGAGGCAAGTATCCCGGTGTCCCGGTATCTACTTCTCCCGAGTACACCTGACTTCGTCCCCGCTTCGCAGCAGCAGRGCGGCCCCGCCGGGGGTGCGGCTCTGTGGGGCGGGCGGTGCCTCCCTCGGGCGGACACCTGCCGAGCCCCGAGCCGGGGCGGCCGCTGCTCCGGGAGCGCTGCCCGGGGCTCCATCCACTCCGGCCGTGCCCTGGGGCTGGGCCCGAGCCCCCCGGGTGATATACGAGCAGAGCCGGGCTAAGCCCGAGCCCCCAGGCCAGGCCAGGCCGGGGGCTGGGGTGAGGGGCACGCCAGTGGCGGCCCGCCGGCTCCTCCCTCACTCCCCCCGCCAGCCGCCTCACCTGAGGGGAACTTGCGGAGCCTCCGGCCTCTCTCCGCAGCCACACCGCAAAATGGAGCCTGTGCGGCCGGCGATGCCCGCCCCGCCCCCGGCACCGAGCCCGCCCCGGCCCGGCCCACGGGCCGCKCTCCCCGCGGGCAGGGCACCGCACCCGATGCCGGCGCTGATGGCCGTGCCAACACAGAACCTTTTGCTGTCTGTGCAGGTKCGTCCCGTCACGCTGAAGGAAAGCTGTGAGATGTCCAGCTGTCCCTCGGGACGGACAAGAGGTAAGTTCGCAGGCTCAAGTGCCACAATCGCAGAGCCATTCTCCAGTGGAGCTATTAGRGGGAGCGTTCACACAGGAAGCGCCAGGCGATGCCATCCCACGGGAGTCCTTTGCCACCCGCTAGAAAAGGGAGAGAAAATGCCATACTGCCGTTTCCCTATAGCACCACGACAACGGAGTTCAGCGCTAATCCGTGTAGTTCTAAATCGAGTCTGTAATCCAGTAACACGTGAGTCTTTAGAACAAGATCATTGTTCAGTAGCTGTTAGGAAGTCCCTCAAGTCACCCAGGCCACCAGAACTGCATATAACAGGCAAATTATATMAAAGACATACGTGCCTGGAGCTGGAGGAGTTGCTCCTTTTGATGTTGTTACTGGAGATCAGGATCTCGGTTACAATAGGACATAAAGGTAAAGATTGTCGTGACTACTACATATATTCTTCTAGAAAGAAGTCTTAATTATAGTTATTTGTATGTAATTATGCAGAGTGCGCTAAGTGTTTTTTTTTCTGTTTGTTGTAATGTTTATTCATATTTTACTTTGAATAGACATTGCACACGCATAGTCCTTTCTTTTCCTGATGGTTAATTGTTCATAAGACATTCTGACAACCAAGATACAATTTATGAAGGATTCACTTACGATATTGTGTACCAGTTACTTGAGGTCATTCAGAATATCCCCTGTTTTTAATGACAAACGTGTTAGCAGTTCAGAGATGATTTCAATGCAAACAGTATTGGTTTTCTTCCTTGTAACCTGGTGCAGCACTTCAGCTCTASATAGAAATAACAGCCACTGTTCTATTTTTTTTTTTGTAAAAAAGCATGAAGTGCAGACAGCAGAAAATAGGTGGGTAATAATTTACCATGCTTGCTTACTTTAAATGAAGAGCACCTAAAGCCACGTAAAGAATGTCATGCATTGCCTATCCAGGAAAATTGGGCTTGTTYTCTCTTGTTTGCCCAGAACACATTGGGAGTGGCTTTAAGAATTTAACCCTCACATCATTCTTCAGCTGGCACTCCAAGYGTATGTCTACTTTATTTCACCTGCTAAGCACATTTCTTTCAGGACAGGTATATATTTAAACCCTTGTTTCCATGGGAACCAAGTACCTTTATAAAATACGCAATTCTTTATCTTTTTCATTTAGTGAACTGTTTTAATTTGAGCTATTCAGGAAAAGAGCAATTTATTTTAAAAACAAGTAAAAGGAAGAAGAGAATATTTCAAACAAAATTACATGTATCTGAGGAGGCTGCTAAATGCATTGAATGTTTGTGTATCAATGAGAATGTTTGGAATGACTTTTTGAAGCATCAAATGGAGCCATTGTGGTCATCTAATTTCACTCTCTATATTTAAAGAAATCCYTTGGCTTCTTCCTGTAGCTAGAGCCCATACATTTAGGAAAGCTTCTAAAACCCCGTGCAGAGTCAAGGCAGCTGCGCTGCTAGAAAATTCAAGTTTAGTGGAGAGACAAACTCTTGTTCTTCTCTTTTGTAATATTTTGCATCTGCTCCTAAGACATGATACTGGACAGAATTCTGGTCTGCAGTGACTTGGCTCAACTACGTAGTTGTGCTGTGTGCTGTCAAAAGAGCTTAAACCAAACCTTTTATCCAGAGGAATTTATTGGTAGTGGCATAGGTGGCTAAAGCATTGTTGCTTCTCTGTAATAATGTATCCCGGTCGGAACATTATTTCCCACTTAAGTGATATAAAGCATTACTTTTGATGTTCTACTCCAGCCAATATAGTTAAAAGTAAAAAGTAAAATAAAGTTAAAAAGTAAAAAGTAAAATATAGTTAAAAGTAAAAACAAAAGCTTTCCTAAAAAAGCTAAGTTTGTTGTGAAAAAGATCTGGCCAGCTTTGAACCATAGGTCAAAGTATAACAAACTCACAGGATACTGCAGTGGTCCGAGTCTACATTATGAACTAAAAATACTTCTCCTGTTAGACCGCCTTGTGACTGCAGTCATTAAAATACACAGTCCTAGTAAGTTGTTGAGTTAACCTTCCCCGTGTGCAGGGAGCAAAGCAAGTTCAGCTCACTTGAGGAAGAGCCCTGTGTTTGGTGAGCTGCTCAAGGGAGTTGCTGCACAGTGAGTCATGGCAGTGTTCCACCCGCTGAGCTCTGAACATCAGGGTTTCACTCAACCCTTACAACTGATTTGCCAACCTGTCTCTAGTTCCGTTGTGTGGAAATTGAAGCTTTGCCCTTCCTCAAAGCACAGAACAGCAGCTTGTTCTGCTTAACTGMTCTAGAAGAGTAGTGTGTCTCATTTTTCACCATCAAACCCATGCGTTTCAGGTAAAGGTGCCATATGTCCACAGGTTCACAAAATTACACACCCATATACTACCTCCTCCTTGCAGCAGACTTAAATATTCTGCCAAGAAACTGAAGTGACTCAACTAAAATTAAATTTAGTGATCTTAATCCCAGTACTTTGAAATTAATCACAAAATGAAATTGTGATTCTGGCAGCAAGGATTTAAGTTTCAAATTGCAGTAAGAGAGTAAGGTTTGTTATAGCTTTTTTTCTGCTGAGACTCATCAGTTAAAAAATAGTGGACTATTACCACTTCCTCCTGAATTTTTATGAAACCATTTCATAAATATAAATGATAAATAACGTAGTTCATCCTGCATGATTTTGATAAGAAACAGAGCATACTTTCATGTGCTTGCATGTTTTACATGTACTTTCCAGAGTTGTGAACAAGCAGTCTTACTGTGCTGTGAAGATGTCAGAGTGAGGAATGATGTCTGCATGCTAATTAAACTGCAGGTTGTCCAAAGTCACCATTCTCATTGCAAAACCAATAGTTTCATTGCCTCTSTACAGCCCAGAGGTGCCTTGCTAAAACCTTGTTCCTTTGTTGAAGCTGCCTGAATTATGTGTCTGAGAAATGCCCAAGGCAACAAGATGGGTGGATTTTATACATTCCTCCAAGTTATACCAAAGGAGAACAATTTCCAATCTTCTCACCAGATTTTTTATKGAACTTCAAGTGTTTGGACAGATTCCTGTAGAGTGGAACAATTTGAACTTTGTTCTGAATGTTAAGTATATTGAGGAAAAGGTTCTTGAACACTTCATGCTGAGGTAAAAACCCAAGATGAGCTCAACTAAGCCAGGAAAAAAAAATATTAATACGTTAGACATTTTAACATTCTTAATAATTTACATAATTTGAGCCATGAAATACTTGAGTGCTCAGAGCTGGTAAAAGAATTGTTTAAACAAGGTATTTTAAAGCCTAATATTTACCAGGAAAACATGCACACTGCCACAAATAAACATGTAATACAGTAGTGTCCTGGAATTCACACTTATTCAGAGAAGTCATCTAGGAAAAGAAAATGCTGAACATGTCACAGAGGATAGAAGTTTTTTATTGTATTAGTGAGGTTGCTAATATGATTAAATATAATACACAGAATACCAGAGAACTGTCTATCTGGACTATGTAAGACCAACTTTCAATTATCTGGAGCAACACATTCTAAAGAAACTAAAAAACGAAAAAGGAAGTCCACTAATAAATTCATGYGGTTTACAAATCAATACAGAGTTAAAGCTTGAAATCCTTGGTGATATTTCTTGACTCCCAAGCTTCTCACCAGATTTTTTATAGAACTTCAAGTTTTTGGAGAGATTCSTGTAGAGTGGAACAATTCTAATAGAATACCTTTGTAATTCCTGTCAACATTTCACAACTCTAGAGAATGAATGCCTTCTGTGTAATAGCCCAGCTCAGGTTTTACAATTAAACAAAATGTATGTTTACAACATGTGTGTTTACAGTGTTGTCCTTCATAACAGTGGCCACTGAAATTTGAAATCAGGCATTCAAAACTCCAGTCAAAGTAAGGATCACCATGTGTCCATTCACAAGGACAGAATGGATGGGATCAGACAGTTTTTAAAAGGTAATCCTTCCTACTCCATTTCCAAGCATTTGGCACTGTCCTGTTTTGCATAGGCCTTAACTCATAGACTTTGCTTTCTTCASACACTTCTGCTTTGCAGTGAATCTTTCTACTTAGGAAGGCATAACCTCAGTCCTTTATCACATATCTTCATTAGTTTTCAGGTACTTATTCCACAATGATCACAAATTGTTTTTCTTGGAACTTTCCGTTTTGTGCACACCAGCTTATAAAACAGCATAGATTTTTAACACTGTAAGTTGAATAGCTTGCATTTAATGTTTTCTCACTTTTCCTTATGGGATGGTAAAGAGTTTCCTGCAGAGATCAGGTAAAGAATACTGTGCTTCCCTCCCTGCAACTTCTTTGCAGTAATTGAGAGACTTATCCAGTTTTGCTGCTTCCTCTTTTCCTCCATCCATGTCAACTTATTTCAAAAGAACGTYTTGACCTGAAAATTCTGAAGCATTAAATGGCTAAAGTTAAAAATACTAAATTTAAAGAAGAGAAAGCAAAACATTTATATTCGGACTAATAAAAAACATGAGTCCTAATACTTATTTAATGCTCCCAAGTAACATTTTCAATGAGAATCTTTGCTGCACCTTCATTTTTCATGTACATTGACCTTGCAATTAGAACTTAGAATTTGGCATCGAGTCACTGGGGTAGCTCTATAGATTGGAACCAATACAGGATCTATAGACTTGTAACCTGAGTCTTATTCTTTGATTCATCTCGCAAAGCAGTGGAAAAATTATTTTGGGGAACGCTCTTCTTTGCATACTCCAATTTGAAATTCATTCACCAAACCAGATACAGCCATTAGTAAGATGTGAACAATTTTGATGTAGAAGTGGGATGCTGTAACTCTTAAAGCAGAGCACCCCCTCAAGACAGCTGAACTGTAGACAGCCTTCTAAAGGTAATGCTATTGGCAGAGACTGCAGAGTTGCAGCTGGTATTTGTACTGGCTTGCTTTCAGCTAAAACTCAGTTAACTTGCAACATGTCTTGGGGAGAAAATGGGGTTTTTCTTCACATTTTAGCAGCAGTACAGGCTTATAAAATGGAAAATTCCTATTTAACAACACCCAACTTTTAACCTCAAGTTTCACAAATTGTCATTTTGCTGTCCTTTCCTTCTTTGGCAAAGATGGAAGCTCCAGTAACTACACTTGTTAGCCACAAATACTTTTCACACACTTTTACCTTGAACTCAGTTGCTGGCTTTAATTCTCTGAACTCCCCCTGTATAAGGGGCTAATGCTATTGACCCTGACTTCCTTCCAAAACAAACAGAAAATAATTAGATGCATAGAAATTATACCATAAACTGAATTTACTGTCTTACAGTCTATCATCAGTACCCTGCTGAAGGAATATACACAGCACCTCTAATAAACCAGAGACCATTCTCCAGTCCTTTACAGTAAAATGTTATTATATGCAACACAAAACCCCACACTTTCAGTGTGCTTTAACAGTTGGAAAGAAAAACTACAAAGAAGTCTGCAGAACTGGAATTCCTTGCATCCACTCTTTTTCCTGATGCCATGTTACCCYCCACCCTCTTTCAAAAGTGGATTCATTACACAGTAAATGAGAAAGTTGKTTTTTTTTTCTGGACAGAAGCCATTGTTGCCACTGCAATGGAACTTTTATTCCAAATACATTCTTACAATAAAGCTGTATTTTGTCATACAAGTAGATAAACCCAGGAGACAAAAGATTCTCATATTCCATTTTAAAATGTCAGGCTCAACACAGCTGAASTGCAGCTGTTCCCATTTATTTTCTAAAACATTTTAGGGTTTTTTGAGAGCAATGGAAATAACGATGTAAACCAAGTCATGTAGGTAATTAAATTACAGTCCGAGGAAATTTCTAACATGACAGAAAAGTGTATCTGCTCATTCTTCAGGGTTCTTTAAGTGTACGGTAGCAAAAGTTCCTTTATAAGCTCAGAAGCTTTTCGTTGAGAGCAATCTGTGACTGGGTGAGATTTGCCAAGTAGGTTACCATCAGTAAGTCCTGAAAGGGAGAGGGGAAAAAAAAGTGATCAGAAATATTAAGGAATCATAGCGTATTATAGAGCTGAATTTTTAACATCTGTAAAGCATATTGCAATTAGCTACAAGAAATATTATTAGTCCTGAAAGTCCTACCCTGAGAAATGCTTCCCTTGCAGGAAGCTTTTGGTCTTCCTGGAATATGAAAACACTGCTTGTGAAATTTTAACTCTGAGTTCACTGATGTTAACCAGGCAAGTCAAAGGGTATAGGTAAAATTAAAAATTAGTTCTGGTCTTACAGATTGTGGATGARCAACACATTCAGAAACTTAGGTTTTCTAACAATCTGTTACAAAAATGAGAAAACATGCTAAAACCATGCTAAACCTCATGTCCTAAGTGTTACGCAAAAGACTGAACTTAGCTCAGGCAAAGGAATCGGGCAAGTTACCAGTTACTACTGAAATAAAAATTATTTAGGTTTGGTAATTGATCTTGTTCAATCAATATGAAAGAAGAATCTTTTTTTCAGATCACTTGCAAAATTCCTAAGTACTTAAAAACTAATTACTTTATCTGCAGTTGCTTGCAAGATTATGGTTTCTTTAAAGCTTAAAAACCTTTAAGCTTTTTAAGCTTTAGTGCTTAAAGCACCAAATTACTGACAATAAAAGGCTGTATTTGTTATTAATTAATAACAAATGAAATGTCTTTTTTATGAAAAGACAAATCACAAATTCTCAAATTTGCTTGCAAGGCACAGAAAGAATTTACTTATGAACTTACATTGATATTGCTGTTCAACATGGTCTCAAAGTCCTCTGGTGAAATCTTTGGCACCTGGTTAATAAGATCCATCAGGAAGCGCCCAACAGTGTTGTCAGCAGCCACTTTGCCAGACTAAGCATAAGAAACACACACTTCAGCATAAGTGAGACTCAAAGTTAATGGCCCAGAAAGAGAAACAATAAACAAAAAACCAAGATGCTCAAGTTTACATCAAACTTATTTTCTGGCTGACAAAAAGCTGGCCTTACCAGCACATCCTCAGCGTACTGCAGCACCATGGTCAGGGTGTCCTGGATCCTGGCTGAGGCTGAGCCCACTTGCTGCAAGTCACTGGACAAGCCAATCACTCGATTCGGGCTAAARCAGGTCTTCATGATCAGATCCACTGAAAGCAAAAGGAGGATCAGTGAAAAAACTGACTGCCACAGAAACCAGTTTAAATCCTTAACTTGTTGAAGTTTTTTTAGGACAACTTCAGCAAGACAGTCGATTACCAGTAAAATTCCCAGAATGCCAATTTTACCAGGGTAAAAAAAGCATTTGAACAGTGTCACAACAATGGTTATAACCAAAACAGGAAGAAAGCATTCACCTCCTATCCGCTCTGTATCATAATAAACATATTTCACTGTTAGGGGTGTAAACATCACGCCCATAGTTTTACCAGGGACTCCCATTGGGGCACTAGAAAAAAAAAAAGAGAACAACAAAAAGTTTTCAGCATGGACATATATAAGGGAGGAAGAAATAGATTTCCATCTCAATAATCTCTGTTAGCACTAAAGCGTGAACATGAGTAGGTTACTCATTCTCACCAAAATCAGCAATTTCAAGACCAARGATAACTGAGGACAGGAAATCAGTCCTGGCATGCTATTAATAGCTCTTTTTCATCCAAGAATATTCCTAGCTGGTTTGACATTCGTCAGCATGAATGCATGAAGAGCTAAGTACTACCATCTTAGCTAAAGTTCTCTTCTATCTTGAAATACCTCCTGCTTTGAGGAACGACTGAAGGAACAACCAATATAACAAAATTCAAGTACAAAGCACTCATAACACCTTCATTATACTTATTATTCAAATTATTAGAAAACCATTTACACTTTAAGTAAGATGTCATGGAACAGCTCCCATTTTAAAGATGCACAGTCAAGCAGTACTTTCTCTACAAAGAAAGGGATATTTTTCCTTAGAGAGAAGRGCTCTTCAGCCAATACTGGAAAGAACTCAGTGAGGTGTAAGTTTAATTTATCAATATTTAATCTCTATTGTTAATTGACAAGAATGAAGGGCTTAAGGAAAAGACAGACTCATCAAGAATATGCTATTTGAATTGTTTTTACCACACTAATCCTCCAACTTATATAAATGCACTGCTGAGCAATAAAGCCCTATGGCTACAGGCTAGCATTCAGTCAGTGTGATAGAAGTTAGTAACATTACTGCTAGCTGTGTGAGTCCTGTGAAATGTCCCAAAGATGTTCTGAAAATTGKTAATTAAGTCACAATTTCCCACCTCAATGAGGTTCCAGTTAATGAAGTCTTTCAGCCTATATATMCTGGTCAAGACATTCTAATAAGAAGTAAGTCATGATCCCTGCCTCACCGCTATGTTTAACTACTGCACAATATTGTCCAAAAAAGGACACTGCACCCCACCACGTTTCTTGTTGCCCTAATGGGGCATCTCTCAGTAGTTCTGATCACCCCCTTCCCATAAATACCACCTCCCAGAGTACCTGACATAGGCTTTAATGCTCATGCGTGAGTTCTGGAGACTTGTGTCCACAGTCAGGTGGATTGGATTGTGTGCTTCCCGGCTGTAATACTCATGGATCAGGACCGAGTGTTCCGTGATGTCATGACCTGTTGCATACCTTCAAAAGAACACAAATTGAAGAGCCATTCTTCCAACATTCAAGTGCCCGGTGTTTTGTGTTGTTGGTATTGAACAGGTTTGTGTCCTAAAACACTGATTTTCAAACACTGAGCTGTAGCAGCATTACTWAATACAAGTGTTTTAACTTGACCACCTGTCCCTAAAATTGTAGGAATCACAGGCTGCGCACACCTATGCCCAATACATGCACATGGCTAATGTTGAAGTACCAGCTGTAAAAGGTCAATACAACTGACATCAGAYACCCAATATTCAGCTATCTGTCGCTGTGTTCTAGACCAGCTTCTTCCATTTATGTAAGTCCAAGCATACCAAATTCGGACCAGCTYTGTCTTCCACAAATCACTCATCTCTCTGCAGGAGGTCTAACTCGTTCATCTAGCTCCTTGAGCTGCCCTGCAATTAGCATCTCATATCCACAGGAGAACACCTGCATTGGAACTGCGCTTTGCTGTGCCATTGAAGGCTGTTTAAGGACGTTTGCTCCAGAGGAAGAAAACAAAGGATCAGAGGAGGCATGTAGGATCAGAGAGGCATGAAAAATACACTGTGCCACTCAGACACAAACTCTGTTCCCGTAACACTGTACTGATCTTGYGTGGCATTCCACACACAGGTTCTTCCAGCAGAGAACTAACTACTCGAGCTAGTATCAGCGATTCCTCCTGACGCCTTTGGTACTTGAAACMACTCTTGTTTTTTCCCTTATTTCTAACTGGTTAACTTCCATGATACAGGTTGTATTWCAGGGGGTAAGTTCCTCTAACAAAGCTGTGCACACATTCTCTAACGCATCACTCCTTTGTGATACCTCTGTGATACCTTATGCTAAACATAAACAAAACCAAATCCTGTAAGTCTCCAATACCGTCTGTTCCTTTTATGAACTACAAGGGCTTTACCGCTGGCTGTGTAACAAGAGTTGCATGATCCGCAGGCATTGGCACTTCTGCTTCTCCATCTCCAACAAAGCAAATTACATATTTTAAGTCGTTTAAGGAATCAACACAATTACTTGCATATTCTTGTAGAAAAACTTACCAGCCCAAGATGATCTCGCTAGGAGACACCTTCTTGTGCAACTCATACATGTTTTTGGCAAATTCCATATCCACAGCCACCTGAGAAACGGGACAGTGCCGAGACAGCTGGTTACAGGGTGCTTAGCCCGAGGGCAACACGGGCACAGGTCGCCAGCAGGGGAGCGCGGGGGTCGCGCTCCGCCTCGAGAATCCCCGCTCCGCCCGGGCCGCCTCCGTACCTCATCCTCGGACTCGTTGTGCGGGACGGAGAAGCAGTTGGTGACCTCCACCGAGTGCTTGTCCACGGTCCCTGCGGGAGGGAGAGCGGGAGGAAGGGAGAGCAGCGGGTTAGGGGGGCGCCGCGGGGGAGGGCCGGCGGGCGCTCGCCCGGAGGCTGCGGCGGACCGGGCAGGACGGTGGCTCTTACCCAGCAGCGTCCCGATGACCCGCGCCGCGCCCTCGTTGCGTCGCTCGAAGCTATCCACGATGGAGGCGAGCACGACGGGGTGCAGCCGCACCACGCGGCCGCCGGGGAAGGGGCCCGAGAGCGCTGCTGACAGCGGCGTGGCCGGCGGCGGAGCCGGCGCAGCGGGCGGAGTCGGCGCGGCCGCAGGGGGAACGCTCCCCGCCGGGGTGGCGGGAGCCGCCGTCGGGCTCTGCGGCGGGGCGGCCGCTGGAGGGGCCGCAGCGGGAGCGGTGGCCGCCATTTTGCAAGAGAGAGAGGCAGGGTCCCCCGTACCGACAGTGATTGGCTGAACCGAACGTCTGTCATGCAGTGCTGCCTCCCTATTGGTGAAACAGGCGTGCTAACGCCACTTGTTAGCCAGTCCGAGGYGCGCGATGCGGGGAGACGCTCTGATTGGAGGAACCGCGCACCGTCAGTGACTGAACCCTACTCTTGTTCCCACCCTCCCGGRGCCGAAAAGCTTCTCAATTGGGCTCTCGCATTCCCCGCCTCCCTGCTGTCCGCTCTTCTGTTGGCCAGCACCGCCCTCCCCGCCCGTCTGTCAGGCACAGAGGCCATTTATTGGCTGCGGAGATTCCGCTCACCCCTGCCTGGGGAGAGCCCCTGCGAGGCTCTGCTTGGGCGGACGCTCACCTGGCGGGGCGGGGCTGAGCGCCCTCGTGTGGGCGGGCTGGGCACGGCAGTGTCYCGAGGCTGAGGGCGCGGCTCGTGCGGACGCGGGCAGTCGGTGCTGCCTCACGTCCGGGCGTCGGTGGAGCGGCAAACACAACAGGGCGGGCGCGGCTCCCGGGGAAGGTGCTCCAGCAGTGCTGTATGTGGGGCTATACAGCCCTTAGGGTTCTGGCCCTGTGAAACCGGCAAGTGCTGTTAGTCCTGTTCGCCAAGTCTTTATTGCCTCAATGGAAGAGTAAGTGGTTGTCAAAGTATTACATAGAGAGCAAATGCAGGTCACCTCTATCTCCAAGGTTTAGTGACTACCGAGTAAATTCGCTTACTGGGTGACATTTGCCTGTTATTTGTGTTCACTCTCGAGCAACGAAGCTGTGCGGGTGGGGCAGGTATCTCTGAGGCAGTGAAAGCTCATCGCAGTCTGTCGCCTCCTCGTGAGGGGGGGCGGAGGGGCCGACACTGATGTCTATGGTGGCAGTGACGGGACCCCRGGGAATGAGCAGAATATGTGTCATGGGAGATTTAGGTTGGACATTCGAAAAACGTTCTTCACCCAGAGGATGGTCAGGCACTGAAACAGATTCCCCAGGGAAGTCAGCACCCAGCCAGACAGTACAAAAGGTGTTTGGACGATGCGCACAGGCACATGGTGTGAATCTTGGGGATGTCCTGTGCAGGACCGGGAGCTGGACTTGAGGGTCCCTTCCACATGAGGATCTTCTGTGAAATAAAACGGGTGTGCTTTCAACAGTTGCTAAAAGGACTGGATACTTTCAGAGCTTTGTTTTCTCTTTGTTAGCTACTTTACCATGATGGCTTTTGGAGTTTTCTCTGCTTCATTAGTTGAGGCCTGAACGTAATTAGTTAATGGGYTCAACTATGTCATTGAAGATAGGCTCTTGAGTATAAAAGGAGCACCTCAATAAAAAGATCACACATTCTGCCCATCTGCAAGCAGTCTGCTTCTCTAACATAAATGGGGAACACCTGGTGAAGCTACAAAGGAGAGCTAATGCATGGGAGCATTAACAGATTTTATCTCTTCATAAAAGCACTTCCAGGTCTGTGTGCTAGATCTCTTAGTCTTAGACTTTCTCAGTGCAGCCTTTATTTCTTGTAGGTGTGCTTGGGTCAAATTGCATAAAGCTTTAAAACATTTCTCTTCCCAGAGCTTTGATGTGTTATTGAGGAGTGAGGTGTTCTTGTTAGAGAGCAGCTGTTTGATCTCATTCCTGTTTGCATCAAACTGGGCTTGGTGCTTAATTTGACATAGCTGCAGAGTCATATGGAGCAAGCAAGGCTCTGCAAGAGGCCATTATGCTTTTATGTTGCCACCTTAAAAATTGGGCAGCTTGATACAGAGTCATGGTTGTGCTTCAAAACTGGCAAGTGTGATAACCTTCTTGTAATATGTTGATGATAAGTTGTTGCACAGGGTGCTGAAGAGTRTATGTAGTGAGTGAAGACGGATAGCCTATTATATCAAAAGTTAAAGATCAGTGTTTGGCTCACACAAAGCCAAAKTAATACGAAGACTTTGTAAATCTAATGATAAGAAAATCAATCATGTGATTGTGCTTGGAGCAGATGTGTCCAAGATATAAGTTTTTTTTCCTTGCCAAATGACTGCTGAAAAATGAAGAACTTTATAATTAATATTGTTTTACAAAGTGTCAGTTACTTTTAGAGGAGGATTATCAATGGTGCCTATTGATGAAAGCTTGACATCCATCTAGTGATATGATTAAGATGTTCAGATACTACCCCACTACAGTGGAATCTGTCTGCCTAGAGAAAAAAAAATGTATTCACATGTGTACATGGATTAGTACGGTAACTTAGGGCCTTCTGATTTTAGCTTCCGTTGCTTGGTTTCCCTGCATCTGATTTCAGTGGTGAATATAGTTATCTCCAAGTWCTTGTATGATTTCTCTTTATAGTCCTTTATTGTGATTGAGTCATTATTATTGCATTTGCTGTCATGTCAGCTTCATTTTCACTGATGTTTAATTTCTTTATCAGTAGCCATCTTCTTTTCTTGCTTGTATTACTGGAAGTAACATCATCTCTTGYTCTAGGGGAAAATATTTCATACATTGCATTACAGGTAAAATAAAATATCTAYAGCTTATTTCTTTCATCATTATCAGGATGTAGTTTTATCTGGTTAGTTTCATGGGATTAAATCTGATACTTTTATTCCATTATTATAAGAAAAGTTTCCCTTKGTACATTCTGTCTTCTAAGCTGGAAGAAGACACAGTGAAGACAGGTGACCCAAACTGACCACAGGGATATTCCAGAGCATATGGCCTCATGGTTAATATATAAAATGGGACGAAGGAAGGAGTGGGAGATATTTGGAGTGATGTTTTTTATCTTCGCAAGTAATGGTTACATGRCAAGGTCCTGCTCTCCTGGAGATGGYTGAACACCTGCCTGTCCAAGGGAAGCAGTGAATTCATTCCTTGTTTTGTTTTGCTTGTGTGTGTGGCTTTTGCTTTCCCTGTTAAACTGTATCTCAACCCATGAGTTTTCCAGCTTTTACCCTACTGATTGTCTCCCTGATCCTGCTGGTGGAGCTGTGAGCGAGCAGCTGTGCTGTGTTTGGCTGCTGCCTGGGRTTAAACCATTAAAGGATCCATTCATTCTTCCTTCTACGCAGGACTTTTATATGATGCAACTATGGGCAATGATTCCAGGGTTTGGTTTGTGAGGGGCTGGTTGGTTTGTTTCTTTGGGGTTGTTTTGATTTTTTTTTCCTATTAAAAAATAAACACTGAGACGTAGGACTACTGAGGTAATACTTTGAGTGAAAATCCAAATACCACCTAAAAATAGAGGCGTAGTGTTACTTGCATACCATGTTGATAAAAGAATATACCATTGCAGAAGTTAYGGAAGTTATCATTAGGTGATCAAAAATAGCACATTGGGAGCTGCCTGGTACTTTTTAGTCAATATATGGAAATACAGAGATCCAAGTTAAAGCACACAATAAAACTTGCAGTGAAAACTAACAGAGAACAATGCCCACAGACTGGCATACTTAGGGCAACAGATTCTTTCATGGTCAGAGTTTTAGACTCATTGAGGAAGGAAAAATGGAAACGTACTGAATAAGGGATGGCTGCRGAAATAAAAAAAGTATCCTAAGCCCCTGGCAAACCCCAAATGGTACTTATGTTTGGCTCAGAAGTGCTGAAAACTTTAAATTGTTGAAATATGTCCCCAAACATGTTTATTTATCTGCTTTTATTAATTTTGTGTATGTAGAGTTCCATTGCTTCCAATGACCAGTGAGAAATCTATCAAAAAAAATCGGTGAACTACATTTAAAAACCACAGTAAAAGGCTTTTTTTTTTTTTTTTTCAAAAGGCACCACAACGTTTTAGGCTTCAGTGGGAATGTATCAATAGTAACCTGGAAGAGGCTCTTCCTATAGAGAAGGTGGGTTTGGTGGTGTGCCTTTTTTGTTGTAATTTTGTAAATCACTGCATATAGTTGGGATCCATGGCTAATTGCTTTTATTCCAAAAGAGGAAATTACCTCAAATTGMATCAGGAAAGGCTTAGCTTGGATGAATATTAGGAAAATATTTCRTATGCAAGGGTTGTCAAGCATTGGAACACACTGCCCAGAGAAGTTGGGAAAATGGCTTAGTGGTGGAGCTGGTAGTCACAGGTTAGCAGTTGAACTTGATCCTCATAGAGGTCTTTTCCAATGTAAATGAATCTATGATTCTATGATATTTTTAAAGTGTCTTCTGYTGTCTCATACCATGCCTCTCCCCTAGTATGTACACTCATGTACCTGTTTTCCCTCGTATCTTGTTTTCCTAAGTGGGTTACCTGACTGAAAAAGGTACTCCTAATATTCTAGATAAATGCATCAGTGTATTTTCTGGTGAAGATCCCGATATGTCTTCCCGAGGGTGCTGCCCCCCGTGCCAGCCAGAGGAAAGGTCCTTCCTCGGGGCGGCTGTGACCGCCGTCCCCCCATTCCCGGCTCCCCATTCCCGGGGGATGCACGGCGCTGCCGCCAGAGGGCGCGCGTCCCCCGCCGGGCCCAGCGGGGCCAGCGCTGGAGCTCGGGGCCGTCGCTGGGGCTGCGGGCTCGGTCGCCTCCGACAGCGCAGCGTCTSAGAGCCGCCAACACACATCGCAGCCTTGTCACCACTTAGTGCTAATTMACTGGTAGCTTCACTCTGCCGGCTTTGAAGTAGGTAACATAAGCGGGAATTAGTGCACAGGGCTTTTCCCACCAGTGTTTATTACGTGTATTTCACTGAGCAGTTTATTTCTTCAGTTAGTAACATTAAGGTTGAATCAGTGAGGTGGCATTTGTTAATTTTACTGTAATTCTACCATAATTCCTCATAATTAATAGAGTCCTACCTTAATTTCCCAWGAAAATGTCACAGAGAGATTTACTTATTGATGTTAAGGCTGTGTAACCTTAAGATGTGATGYACAGCCCCAAATTTTACTGAAATATGTGGAAATGAAAGGTGTTTTGGGTCTTTGATGAGTGTGAACTCTCCARTCTCTCAAGACATTCCTGCTTCTTGATGATCTACAAWAATAATTCTTTT